GTTAATTTAGTTAAAAATCACCCAAAATTATACAGGGTGGCCAACCAAGAATGTCAGGTACTTTATCTGGAAACCTATCCATTGTAGAGGCAAACGTTCTTATCAAGAAAAAAACTGGAAAATATTTTAATGTTTCTGAACCTAAGAAAGTGATGTTTCTGTGAATTCTGCCATTTTGATAGGTTAAGTAAATACCTGATCTTTAAATTCGAGTATTTTGTTTGACAATTTTTGCTGTATCCGTAAAAAACACCCTGTATCTTCGAAATGGCTGACCCGCTCTTAACAAACTTGAACTAGTTGAAAAGAGCTATTCCTGGGCTACAAATGTTATAATATTTGAAGTTTTGTTAGTTTTATATGTGGCCGCTAGCGGGCTTTTTCGACAATCCGACAGAAATGGTTAATCTTCTCACGAAAAATTGAATGCATTGGTATGATTTTTTTCATAAAAAAGTAGCTTAATGATGTCTAAACAAGCACGCAAAAACCGCATCTCGATATCTGGTCCCTAACCTAAAATTTAGGCCAAAGAAAATGTTATCCGGAAATCCAATAAATTTTTATTTTTTTAATCTGATTTTTCTGTAATTACACTGATCAACAGACAAAAAATATCCTAAATAAAACCAACAAAATATTACTATTTTAATGTGCTAAAACTGGAATGAAACTTATTTTTTCAATATTAGTTCAAGTTTTAGAGATACGGTAATTATACGTATATGTGTTCCTGCTGTGACAGTATTAATATACTAATTCACAAGAATGCACGTGCTACATTTTTATATTCCGCAAGGAAAGATGATGTAATCGGCATGATAGTGTTACGTTATACATACGTGTACATTATATTGTTTTATATTAGCAATTTTTTCCTCAGTTGGCTGACAGCGTTCATGCAAGATGTCTCGAAAGTGTGTAAACAATCCAGATCAGTTTTGTTGCGTGTGTGGTGATGTGACTTTTGCGTCTCAGAGACGGTCTATTACTCCATTAATAACAAAGGCATATCAGCTTTATTTCGGTTGTAAACTAGGTGGTCAAGACAAACAGTGGGCACCCCACATCTGCTGTAATACATGTGCTTGAAGTCTGAGGAGCTGGTTAAATGGCAAAAAACGGTCTATTCGCTTTGCTGTCCCAATGGTTTGGAGAGAGCCTACAAATCATATTAATGATTGTTACTTTTGCATGGTACCTTGTGTTGGACAAGCCACAGGTATGTCCAAGAAAAAAAAATCGGTTATTAACTACCCAAACATACCATCTGCGATGAGACCTGTGCCTCACAGTGACGAAAATCCTATCCCAAAACCCCCAGAATCCTACACTTTCGAATCAGAAAACGAATCAGATCATGGCGATCGAGTGATTCGTCAGGAAGAAGATACGCCATCAACGTCAAGAGATCCTGATTTTATACCGAGCACGTCATGCCACCAACCGCACAAATAACACAGTCAGAATTAAATGATCTTGTAAGAGATTTAGAACTTCCAAAATGTAAGGCAGAGTTACTTGGATCAAGACTGCAGCTGTGGAACTTGTTAGAAGACAATGTTTCGGTATGTGTTTTTCGTAAACGCCGCAAAGACTTTGAACCATTTTTCAATATGGAGAATAACTTGGTTTTCTGTAGTAACATTAACGGCTTACTGGCGGCCTTAAATATAAACTATAACCCAGAAGAATGGAGATTGTTTATAGACAGTTTTCAACATTGAGTTTAAAGGCAGTGTTGGAAATATTTTACCATCTCTTCCTGTAGGGTATGCAGTTCACATGAAAGAATCATATGACAATATGAAGCACCTATTGACATGCATAAAATACGATGAGCACCAATGGCATATTTGTGGCGATTTGAAAGTTGTTGCACTTTTACTTGGTCTACACCTAGGCTACACAAAGTTTTGCTGTTTTTTGTGTGAATGGCACAGTCGGGCAAAGGCCCTTCATTACACCAGACAAAACTGGCCTGTTCGTCAATTCCTAGAGCCAGGTCAAAAAATGTACAGCATATGCCATTAGTAGATTCGAAAAAAATTTTATTACCACCTCTGCAAATCAAGTTGGGCCTAATGAAAAACTTTGTCAAGGCATTAGATAGAGATGGGTCAGCTTTTCAATACCTGCGTCAGAAATTTACAAGACTAAGTGAGGCAAAAGTTAAAGAAGGTATTTTTGTTGGGCCACAGATTCGAAATATTTTGAAAGATACACAGTTTGAAAACACTTTAACAGGTATTGAAAAACTGCTTGGAATGATTTCCGTCTGGTGGTCACTAATTTCTTGGGAAATATAGAAAAGCTGACAACTATAAAACCCTTGTCGAAAATATGCTGTCATCGTATCAAAAGATGGGCTGTAATATGTCTCTTAAGATACATTTCCTACACTCACACCTGGACTTTTTTCCTCACAATTGCGGAGCCGTAAGTGATGAGCACGGCGAACGTTTTCATCAGGATATTTCAACAACGGAAAAAAGGTACCAGGGAAAGTGGAATCCTTCCATGCTTGCAGACTACTGTTGGACTCTTGGTAGAGATGCTCCAGAAATGATCCATAAAAGAACAGCAAAAAGACAGCGCATATATTGATTCTTATAAGTATATGAATCTTGTTACTTTTTTTAATATATCCTTAAAAATAAAAAGTTTTTTTTTCTAAACCGCAACTAATTTTTTTATTTCATTGTCATTTTTGGATTTCAGCGCCGAAAAATTAACAAAGAAGTGCACTTTTCCCACAAGATACAATTAAAAAACTAAAATTGTTGTCCAGTGTTATTTGCCACATCGGGAGTGTAGATGGCTTCGTGAAGGAAGGACTATGGTGTTTGAATAAAAAAAAACCACTGACTACCACGAAGAGATGAAGGGTGAAGCATTCGAAAAACTGGTTTTTAGGCATTTTACCACGTCTTAAAGACAATTCTGTGGTGGTCCTGGATAATGCTCCGTATCATTCTCGGAAATTAGAAAAAATTCCAAATTCATCTTTAAGAAATCAGAGATACAGGACTGGCTACGTGCAAAAAATATACCTTTTGATACGTTATGTTGAAATTACAACTTCTAGATCTTGTGAAACAACACAGAGCAAAATATGATAAATATATAGTGGACGAGATGGCAAAAGCGCACAATAAAATGGTACTTCGTTTGCCTCCTTACCACTGTGAGCTCAACCCCATTGAGCTCATATGGGCAGACATAAAGAATTTTGTTGCTGAACACAACACAACATTCAAGTTTTCCGACATGAAAGAGCTGTTCAACCTTGCGTTGCAGAGAATCACACCAGGAAAAAAGGTTAAAATGTGTGAAGCATGTTCAGGAGAAAGTGGAGGTTGCAATGTGGGAGCTAGACAACATAATTGAAAGGCATATTGAACCGCTAATTATCAACATCTATGATGACAGCTCTTCTAGTGAAAGTGAAAAATATTGATGTTGTCAAACACATATGTATAATTTGTGCCCCCCTTAACTTTCAATCACCTCTATTGACTCTGTGACAGTAGAGTTGTGTTATTATTTACTGATATCTCTTTTTCAAATATTTAGTTAGTTTTGAGTTCGACCCTGCTCGGTTCTTGTGTCTACGACCATCATGTCAGCGACGCGTGCTGGTTGTTGTGTCTGGTCTCACTTGAAATGGATTCAAGTATATAAATGAAATCTAAGGGTCGGCCAATGCAAAACAGCTGTCTATTGGCGTGCAAATTTAGGTCCTAGCTCAATAAAGCGGAGAGTAGGGGGGTTAAGAGCGCCAGTGACTTGAGATGGATTAAGCCCATAAATCCCCGAAGTGTTAATGGGAACTTGTTTTGCCTGACCACCCACACAAAAAAACTATACATTTAAACACTCGAACTTGAAGAAAAAACCATGTACACTTATACAAGAAAAGTAAGTCAAAGGCAAGAAATGATAAAAATGTACTAGACTGATATACCCTCAGAAATGTATCCCTTGTTCTAAAATAAAGTTATGGCAGCTCAAAAATCAAAATCATAATCAATGTAAGCCCAAAAGAAGGTGACATGTAGCGACTGCTCCATATTTGAATACGGAAAATGAAAAACAGAATCAAAAGAACACTAAGAATTTCAGTCCGCAAAAATCTATATTTAAATATCTATAAAATACCTAATTAAAATGATATTTTAGCTGTTCACATCAGGGCTTTTTTGTCAACGGAAATCGGTGGCTTCCAGCAAAATCGGCTGTAACGGCTACAAGGCAGCTACAAAACAAAGCTGGCGGAGTATGAATAGTGGTTCTCCACAATTTCATTACACTAAAAGGAAGCAGATATTGACCAGACTTCTTCAGGTCATGCATTAATGGACGTGGTCCGATGGTATACAAAAAGAACTTACCCATTAGAAAATGGACGGTGTAGCACCCAAACCAAACCAACTAAACATAAGGTACAAAATAAAAGGTTACTACTCCATAATCTGGTGTTTGGGGCTTTAATATCCCAGGATATGGAAATTATTACCAACGAAACGATCCACGCACAACCAAAACCTCAACGCAAGTTTTTTAACAAGCCATCTTGACAGGACAAGAATTTATCTTGATAGGTAAAGAAGGTATCTTGATAGGCAATCAAATATCCGCATACAGATTTTTAAAAGAAGGTATCTTGTTAGGAAAGCAAATATTCCTATACGGCTAGTACGTGCAAAAATCACAAGGTGGCGCTGGTTGGCAGTGGGTGGAACCAACCCTACGAGGGATATTTTATGATGAAATTTCTGAGATACTCGTTAATAATACATTAGTGTACAAATGATTTCAACACAATACTGAATCGCTGAGAAAGAAAGATATAATTAAGTGTGGAATTATACAATCTATAAACTATGAAATTTTACAAAAGAAAGTCATTAAAAAGGGTTTGGCCTAGGAATCGGCACCCTACCATTAATAAAGAGAAAACAAATTACTGATAAGTGATATAAATAGCAAACAAAAAAGGTTACGTAATTTTGGCACGTGACAATATTTAAATTGCCGAGCTTTCGAAATGACAATCTGATTCAGCTCGCGAACAATTTAACCGTTTTACTTTTCGTTCTAGGAAACCGAATATGATGAAGCAAAAGAACGCATTCCCTCCAAACTTCATACATTCTCTGGATTCTAGCCATATGATGCTGACCTCTCTCCATTGCGAAAGGGCTGGCGTTACTTTCGTCTCGGTGCATGATTGTTACTGGACTCATCCCTCTACTGTGCATATTATGAACAAGGTAATATTTTTATTTATTTTATTTTTGTGACCTTCCGAAGCTTCTTTGAACTAAAGTAAAAAATCCAAATCCAATTATTTAGAAATTTATTATGCAAAGGTCTTTGTTTTGTATCTTACAAGCGCCCAAAGGAAATCAACGAATAACTGTTGAATTTTTATTTCATTATTTTCAGATTTGTAGAGAGCAATTCGTGGCTTTACACTCGGAGCCAATTTTACAAGACCTGTCAAACTTCCTGGCTGATAAGTACAGCTATAAAGAAGGGTGAGTTTTTCTGTAGTTGTACATAATTCACCGATGCTTTTTCTTAATGACCACTCATTTTTAAAATTTGTTATAATCGACAAAATACAACTTTAGTGCCGGGACTCACGAGCGTTGGGATAACGCGCGTCGTAGTAGTATCATTAATAGGGAATATTCATGTTTTTACTTTCTACGACATTAGCGTGAAAGTATTGTAATCGCGAAACATTTCGAAGGTGAGATGTTATGTTTTTTGGATGTTATATAACGTATACATCACGAAAAAACGTGTCACTCATTTCCGGCCGCCTGTCTGTCTTTCTGTCCGCTAATCTTGGCTTCCTGTATAACTTGGAAAGTATCGGACGAATTTTCACACAAGGTTATTACTACACCAAGGACGAAAGAACTGTATAGTATAGGTATTTTACGCCTGATTTACACATAGCTTCGCTCATATGCGCCCGCAGGAGGAAAGGGGGAGGGGCCATCCTTCGATAAGAGATAACTTTGTGTGAAAGCGTAACTTCGCGAAGCTCTTGATTGTCGTTTTGAGATTAAAAATTCATAAAATAAATTATAGTTTGAAACAACTAAAAAATACGCTCCGATAGCAATTTTTCCAAACAGAAGCTGCAACACAGGCAGAACCCTAAATGCCAGCGCACCTCAGCTGCTATGAGAAGCTCAAAGAAACTTTGTTAATAAGATTTTTTAATCAAAAAGTTGTAAATAATTTTCAAGTATAGGAGAGAATAAGACAAATATAAAAATTAAGATATTAACAAAAAATTCAATTATAGTAAAAAAGAGTGGGGTGCAATTAATTACATTTTCATAATAACTCTAGTTTTGTAACTAGTAACTAAAAAAACAATTCTAAAATTTAACATGAGGCACCCCACGCTTTTTTACTATAATTGAATTTTTTGTTAATAACTTAATTTTCATATTGATCTTACTCCAAATTCATTAGTCATACATACTTGATTGTTGGATTTTCCATGGCAGTAACACAAACTAATTCAAATTCAAATTCAAAATGTTTAATATACATAGTCGTGCCATAAGTTCTGTCCCATGATAATCTCATGATAAAAATGAAACAAGATAAGATATATTTATATGAAAGATATTATTTATTCGACAACATTTTTAGAATTCATAATCAAACAGTTTTATTCAAAATGTCCCCCCTTGGCCTTCACACACTGCTTCAATCTCGCGGGCCACTCATCTATCACTGCACGCACAGCTTCCAAAGGAATAGCTGCCGCTGATCGGATCAAATCCGCTTTCAGGGACTCGATATTACGGTGGGCTTTGGAGCAGGCCAACTGCTCTAGCAGGTCCCACAACTTGTAGTCTAAAGGATTGAGGTCCGGACTCCCTGAGGGCCAATCTTCCGCAGCAATGAACTCTGGCACATTGCTTTCCAGCCAGCGCTGCGTACTCTTAGCCTTGTGAGCGGGGGCGGAATCCTGCTGGTAGACCCAGTGTTGGTTGGCAAACAATGTACCACTTAAAGGCTTGACGATAGGATCCAGTATGTCGCTCTGATAGTTTGCCGCTTTTGTTTTCACGCCCTGTTTACAGAAATGGAGCTGAGTGACCCCTTCGTAGGACACCCCCCACCAAACCATGACTGACGCAGGGTGGTGGCCTCTCTCAACTCTCGGAATGATCTCCGAAGCTTCCTGTGAACTCCTTGCATACACTTTGTCATTTTGTCGGTTGAATTTTTCTTCTATGGTGAAGATTTTCTCATCCGTGAACAAAATCTTTCGGAATCCCCCAGCTGCGTACCTCTCCAAGAGCTTCTTGGATCTTGTCGCCCTGATGTGTCGCAAGGTGGCCGTAAGTCGCTGGCCCGTACGTCTCCGGTAAGCCCCTAGCCCTAGGTCTTGTTTAATGATGCGCGACATCGTCCGGACAGGAATCTTCATTTCCCTGGATAGGATCTTCTGCTTCCGGAGTGGATTCCTTTGAATCCTGGCTTTTACGGCTTTGATGGCTGCTGGAGTCCTTACTTGACGAGGTCTTCCGCTTCTTGGCCTGTCATCAACAGAGGACGTCTCATTGTACCGCTGAATGGTCCTAGACACAAATTTACGCGATATTTGAAGGCCGCGTAAGAGTTCAAAAATCTGACTAGCACTGTGATTACACTTATGTAAAGCTATCACTGCAATACGGTTCTCTGCCTTGCCCCACTCCATCGTTATGCTTCGAGAGATCAATACAAACTGAGGTATATGTAATTACCCGAAAAGCGCTTAATCAACTGACACCACAATGTAAACAATCGGACAAGTATTAACAGGTCTACACTTGTTTGAAAACGAGGGACAGAACTTATGGCATGACTATGTAATTCTAATAAATTCTAATAAACACTTGACAATTATTTTCTACTTTTCAGTCGATTTTCTAAAGCGTGTTCTTCTATTTCTTTAAACTATAATTTATTTTTGATAAATATTTAAAACCGCAATTGTAATGACGTTGATTTAAACGTCGCTTGGCAGAGACGTCACTATCCCCGACATATCATTTTATTGTTTTTTTTGGTGAGGTTACTGACGAATTTTTGACAGACCATCTGTTTCAGTATATATTAATTTCTACAAATAACATCGAAAAGCTGGAACAGCAAACTGACAGGAAAACAATCAATGACAGTGAGAACAAACGCCTACTATGACCAATCCTAATTTAATAATATTTAAGTGTAAAAATTTCCCTGATCCTTTATTTTGGCGAATCTTCGGTGTACTGGGCATTTTTATGCTGCGTCTTAGTTTAACGCCGGCACCTAATAGCAAGTACATTAGTGGTGTCAGGCGTTATACGAAAAACGTTATGCAATATGATTTTTGTTATAGGGAGACCACCGGTGATGGCTCTGTTAGCGATTTAACTAAGAAGAAATTTAATAGGATGCTACGAAAGTTACCGAACACTGGGAATTTTGACATACATCAAGTTTTAAAGTCTGTATATTTCTTTAGCTAATGTAAGCTTACCAGATTGTTAAGTTTGTTGAATATACGTTTTTTACTTTTGAGATCGTTATTTTTGAAGAGCCTTATATCTTACTGCTATATATTTTATAATAGTAAGAAACTTAAATATACGTGAGGGGGTTAAAAATCCCTTCATTTTTTGATGATAAGATTATTTTGTTTGGATTAGTTTTTTATATTCCAATATTACGTATTAGATTTGACTTTGTTGAGAAACAAAGCGCCCTTCTCCATGCAGACATTGGGGCTTACTGAAAGGATTTCGCCCAAGGTAGTCATTCAAAATGGTGGACTTTGTGGTGGCTACCGATATACAGCGTCATCTATTGGAGAGTAGTCGAATAAAAATATATTTATCCGTTCACTTTCCTTAAATGATTTTAAGCTAATTCTGTTCATTTTCGACTAGACAAAAAAAAATCGTTTAGTTGGACTACCATGCCATAGATGGCGGTTCTTTGTAAAGTGTTATCACACGTCACACAAAATTAACTAGTCGAAAAGATCCTTTAGGGGTGGTCGGTTGGGGTTTGGCCGTTTCCTATGGCAACGCATTATCAAAGATCAAGAAACTTAAATTTCCGTGAGGGGGGTTAAAAATCCCCTCATTTTTTTGATGAAAAGATTATCTTGTTTGGATTAGTTTATTATATGTAATTTTATGTATTGATTTGGCTTTGTTGAGAAACATCATAGTCCTACCCCTTGCATGCATTGGGGCAACTGAATGGATTTCAGCAGCCCAAGGTAGTCATTCAAAATGGTGGACTTTGTGGCGGCTACCGATATGCAGCGCCATCTATTGTAGAGTAGCCGAATAAAAATATATTTTATTACGTATTGATTTGCTTTGTTGAGAAACAACCTTACTGTCAAGCTAATACAAACAAAATAATATTTTATTAAAAAAATAGGGGAAAGTAACCCCTCACGACTATTTTAGTTCGTTAATCTTGGAAATGCGTGAGCATAACAACACCGCCCGCCCTCACCCGTCAAGATAATTTCACCAGACTATTTTTGTTACACCCACCGCCCCACGCTATTGGCTACTCCCGTCTATATGCTTGTTAAGTAAACACCAGGTTATATGAAGCTTCAAGGTACTGTTTTTAGAGATCGTTTTAGATATTTTTTGGAGTTTTTTTTATTGTTTGATAATGTCAATATTATGCAAGGTGACAAACAAGAAATGAAACAAATGGTTATATCAACATTTTTTATCAACATTATAATATGTACATGATAAATTAAGGCACATTATAAAAATAAACTGGCCTAACTGATATACATCATTAATATATACCCTATTTCACGAGTATCCATCACGCTTTGTAGCGTTTTTTTTTGTATGTAAATTAACTTTTTTAAATTAAAAAATATTATGTGTCCTGTGCCGATATGGGAATTTTGAGATATTACTAGATAATCGCTGTACCGTGATGGATACTCGTGAAATAGGGTGTAGGTATCTAATCTGGTAAAAAATTAAGTACAACATAGTGTGATGGAGAATACATTCTGCTCTAGCTAGACGCTGTATTTGAAAAGTTAATATAAAAAAAACGTCGAATGATTGTGGACACGACTTTAGTTCATATTCATGTTTAGAGTATTTTTTTTTTGGTTATGTTGATGAAGCATGGGCTAAGGTTGCCCATAGATTAACTTGTCTTGACCAAACAACTTAATAGTCACCAGCAAAACTGGAAAAATATTCATGTAGATGTCACAATCGTCAGTTCTTGTTTAAAGTTTAGCCCTGTTGTATTCACCTCAAATACACCCGCCTATGACAAGGACAAAACAAGAATTACAAACAGTCACTTGAGCAAAGAAAAAACAAAACACAGAAAGATCATGTACTGGGTGTTCATAAAGTTGAGACTTTCCTTCAAATTTTTTCTTATAACACATGTATTGACCGAGCTGTTAGGTTTTCAAAAATCTATCGTTCCTAACTCGACCATGCGTCCCGAAAAGTGAAAACAGCGTTGAACCTGTCATGCAAGTAAAGAGAGTTGTTTGTTCACAAAGTGAATTCGAAAAAAAAATACATATCTACATAGCAATGACTTGTAGATATGATGTTAGTTTACAGTGAGTGTTTTCAAGAACCTGTTGAGGTTTCGCGACTATAATTAAATCGTTTCTGGAAAGTCCCTATCATGTTCCGCGTACATTTGTTTAACTCGTACAAAGAACTAGAGTCACGGATCGTCTACAGGAACGCCAAAGGGGGAGGAAGGGGCGTACAGTGAAATATAGGACGTCAAGCTTTTTAATCGAACGGCGACGACTCCGACTCGAATTTAGCAGCATCCTGAACCGGTCGGTACTAGAAGTTTCTCAACAAATAAGTGATGAGTACTTTCTTCGTTTTTTTTTCATGTTTCCGCTGCTGTTTCACTCCACCTTAGGGTTGTCATTTTAATCGCAGTTTTCAGAAAAGGAAAGCACAAACTTTCAGAGCATCCCATTGAAAAGTTGTCACAAAGATGTTGTTTTTTTTTACATCGACGCAGCGGCATCTAAATGCCAGTGCATCGCGGCTGCTATGAGGAGTTTAAATAAACTTTGTTAATCCGATTTTTGAAGAGAATTCATGAGCAGCGTACTAATAATCGACTAAGCTCGCAATGGTTGTGGACAAAACCAAATCACACAATCCCAGATCCAACCAAAATGACTTCTTCACAACATCTATATTCCATTATTTCTACTTCCTTTCTGTATCCTTGACAATTAGCACATTTAGGGAACGGTGTGCTTTATTTCAGTGATAATTTTATCAAAATTTACAGTGTTGCCATTAAGTGAATACGTCAATCGTTTCATGTGATAGGAATTTAACCAAGCAATAAAGTATCATATGCCACTTGTTGGAAGCAATTTCATATTTTATTTCAACATCATTGTAACTTTGTGACAACTTTTATATTTCCAGTCGATACCCATATTGCACGTAATAATTAAATTCAATAATGACAGTAAGAAGTAACATAAAAGCTATACTAAGCTTTCAAAGCAGATATTCCACTTTTTGCTTAAAATTGATCCACAGCAATAAACTCAAGAATGGTACATTATTCTCAACTGCATTTGTTGAATGTAATTATGATTTGTTTTGGTAAATGAAACGATTTTTACCTTAATTTGTGAATAGCTCTGTAAAATCAGCTCCGTTGATAAAGCAGAGCTTTACAAACAAATATACATACATGTATCTGATAAGAATATCAGCATAAAAAGGTATCTTCTAGTCAATCCCAAAAAACTCAATTAAATCTGAATGCGAATGTATCACAATAAAGCCTTCTGTAAAAAGATATGTTGTTCATCTGTATAGAAAAAATAAGATATGGTTCATGAATATCTGAATAAATGATATGAATTTTAATTCTCATGGCTTGAATAATGATAATTTCCAGCAGTCTTAAAGTATTTTTATAGAATGTATACTGGGAATGTTTAAATGTTGCAAAAATGAGAACATAGAATATATCATAACCTATTACCTTTTATTTTTTTACAAAATATAATAAAGATACTCCGAGTCATCAAGCTTAAAAAACAAGTTTTGAATAAGTAACACTGAAATCTATTTGTTATCCTGTAAAACAGATTGACAAATGTAATCAACCAAATTCTGATTCCGATAATGCAGTTTGGAGGAAGCATTTATTATTTCAATCAAAGTCAAAGTTACATATTTGATTGATTATGGATTTTGTAAACTCAGTCACCAAATCAGAAAAAAAGACTGCTATTTAGCTACAGCTGTAACTACAGTAAGGTTTTTTATATGATAATGACTAGCGATCATCAATCCTAATAGTCCATTAATTACATTATAGACGCTATGTTTTATAAAAAAGAATGTATAAAATTCCATAACAATACACCTGAAAACCATTTACATTATGTACTAATGGGGAAGTACTATTTAAAAAATCTACTAGTTATAAAGATCTACTGTATTGATACACGGACTAATGTATGGCCGCAAGGTTTACAAAGACGATCTCTAAAGCTCGTAATTCATATACTCCATATAGATAGGTACATTATAGCTTGGAACAGTAGTAGGACAAACAGAAATAACAAAATTGTCATTGGCCTCTACGATCTTTATTTCCAGACAAGTGGAAACTACCGACTGCTCCTTTACAATTCAAAATTTTATTCTGAATCTGCTATGAGCAACAAATAATGTTTCGATTCACTATTGATTTGACAGAAACAGGCAGTTTCCCTATGGAGAGCGGTTAGCGGCTAAATTTTTTGAAATATCGCATAGAGATACGGAACCCAGAAACCCCCAAGTAGGGGTTATATCAATAGATACAGGAGGACAACATAAGTCATAAAATAATATCATCAGAGAAGAAGTAAAACATAGTGTTGCTAGGATTTCTCAAAGGCTGACCAATGGTGATCATGGATTTGACCTTGAAGGTTATGGTCAAGGTCAGGTAATTTTTGAAAAGTCGTATATCTTACGTTACATCCGGAAAATTGACAAGCCGAAACATCTACTATCATGAAGTCCTTCAGCATTTCGAAAACGCAACATTTGAAGGTCATGGACAGAAAAATCTTGCCCCAATTGGGGCGTAATGATAGATGTAGGATATTATTATGACTTGTAATGTTGACCGAGAAGAAGTAATGTTGTTAAGATTTATTCCAGAGTGGCCAATTGTTAACATGGATTTGACCATGACAGTGACCTTGAAGGTTATGGGCCAAATCAAGTAGCGATGTGGCTTATTAAACTGAGTGAGAGGTAATGGGTCTTGCTTTAACTGGTCGGGCAGACTTTAGGTTTTAGAGGAAGAGGGTAGAAGGAAAGAAAGGAGAGATAAGAGAGGGAAAAGCAGGAAAGAGATCTAAGAGAAAAAATGAAAATGAAGTTGTCATCTCGTCTGAGCGCAACCGTCTTGACAATGCCCCCTGAAAGTATCTAGGTTACCCACACTACCGGCCCCCTCGCCAAGACTTGATGCTGCCCCGAAATAAAACTTTTTCACATGTCTATGTACTATGCAATGACAGAAGGGACCTGAAAAGTCCGTCCATATAAGCTTGATTTGGGCCATAACCTTCAAGGTCACGGACACGGTCAAATCCATGTTCAGTACTGGCCAATCCGGAGTAAATCTTAACAATAGTTCGTGTTAATTCTTATCTGTCAATGTTACACGTTACAATAATCTATCAATACGCCCACTTCAGGGTTTTATAGGGGGTCGGGGAGGGGTGTCCTGATCATGACCTTCAAATGTTGCGTTTTTGAAATTCTCAGGCACTACATCAAAATAGATGTTTCGATTTGTGCATTTTCCTAGTGAAAAGTAAGATTCATGACTTTTAAAAACCATTGGGCAATCTTTGAGAAATCCTAGCAAGAATGTGATAATTAAATTAAATTAAATCTCTGATAATATTATTTTAAGATATGTTATCCTTCCATATTAATAACCCCTACTTGGGTGGTTTCTGAGTTCCGTATGGGGTAAAAGAGGCATATCAGGGGGTTGGCCCCATTGGGACTATTGAGCGTTATGTTGAAAACTATTTATGCGAAATATCAACAAATTTAGCCGAAAGCCATTTTCCATAAGGAAACTGCTACAATGGTAATTGTTTCATAATGTTTTGATGATCAGAAAATCTTCACTGAGACTATACATGACAAGTTTCTTCTACCTGTTATTCCTTGTTGTCTTTAACTAATACATTCATACAAGTTCACAGCCTCAATGGCTATTAAAGGATGCTTTACATATAATATACAACTCAATTTACATTATATACTTATTTTAAAAAAAAGTATTTACAATATTTCTATATGAACTACTGACCTTGAGCCAGGTTTCTATTGATATCATTTCAACAAAATGTGAAGGACTGCGTTGACAGCCAAGCCTAGAATATTACTATTACAACTTTAGTGTTTCAGCTTAACAATGTTTTTGACACATTTATTTAAAGTGTGCGATAATTTGTTTTATGTGCATAAGTACGACTTGCAGTCAAACCAAAGTTTTACTGATTGTGGTTTGACCGGCGGTTTTGGTTTTGAGACTTTGATCTCACATTGTCCGGACTGTTGCATTATGACAAGAATTTTCTTTAGATCAGAATGCGAAATTGCCGACGAACGTGGTCAAAACGACTGTGAAGAATGTTTTTTACGTTAGGGGGAGTTTCAGGAGTCATATTTGGCAGAATCGCAGGTGCGACAAAAATCGAACTTTCCGATATTGCACATTGTTGCATCGTTCACTCAAACAGAATTTTTTATGTTAGGTTCCGTGCCGCGACGAGCGGTAGTAGTGTTGTTGATTCTCGTTACTTTCGAATATTCGCTACCGTCACTCTTCTACAAAGTAATCATTTATTGTATTCGTCACTTTTATTAATTTGATTACTATGAGTAGTTTGAGCATAACGATTTGGCGTCGTGTAACTAATGCAAACATCGTATCTTCAAACTTTAGTCAAAACGAGACGCGTTATTATAGGATAGGGTGTCATAGGACTCATATGAGCGTAAAAACTGAAAATACTTTGTATTTACTAGGCATGCTTAAAAAGCATGTCTTTTAGTTAGAAAGATGATCTGTATATGGGGAAATTCGGAATGGGAAGTAACTTTTCGAAGCATATCAATTAAGCATGTACCAGTATAAAAAATTCTACGTGAAGCTTAGTCTACACATTGGTGGTCATAAATTATAAATGCTTAGCAAAATGTGGAACATGTAAACTCGAATCAGATTGACATAATATTTATTATTGTGGTGTTCGTGAACGGTGGTGTTACCATATTGTCGCTTTTCTGACTCATAATACTGCTCCAATCCAATCAGCTCCTTATCTCTTTTCAGGTTACCAAGATCACAACATTATTGTTATTATTCCCTCTTATGAGGGAACCTGAGTCACGGTGTAAATAACATAGGTACACACTTATATTTTTTAATTGGCGGAATTTGATAATTGTTTTTAAATTTGGAGTTTCCAGGTTTCCACTCGAACGGGAGATGTCTGGTAACCCTGATGTATGAGCGGCAATGCTTCAGTGATGCCTGAGATAGCAGAAACCAGCGTTGCCGCTCAACGATTATACGCGAACCGGGTACCGATACGGGAAACAGTAATCAAAGTAATGCTAGGATTGATAATCATTACTTCGGGTATCTATGAGTAACGAGTACTCGAGCAACGAATAGTTACTTTTTCAACACCTTTAAGCGGAAACTGAACTGAGGAAAAAATCAAGATCAGACCTTTAGTAACTTTTCCTTAATCCGGGTGAATTGGTGTTTTCTCGGTCAATTGCGTAGCTTGCTGCTGACGTATCTAAATTTGTCGGGAACCCTCCCTGATTATGACAAATCCCAAATTTCCACTTACCTTACGGTAAAATTCGGTGTCAAGATAATTACATTGAATAAAATAGTTACGTATTGACGAAGTATTATTCATTATTTTTTTATGTCACCTTCGCAATCTATGAAACAGCTGCACAGATTCTGATAAAATTTCGTAAGCGACATGATGCGGTTTCAAAGTAGGTAATACGAGTGTATATTTGAAAATTATCCAAGTAGCAGCAGTGTTATGAGCAAAAGACAGAACAGCTTCAGTTCATTCCCAAGCTTTGCTCTTGTATGCTTTACAATGTTCTGCAGCTTTTTTGACGTGATCAAACAAATTTTAAGCGAGGTACCATTCGGAAAACTTGAATTTGTTGTTCCAGATAGCTTCAGGCTACAGAGTAGTTAAAGACATTAGTATGGAGCTCAAAAGTCTTAATCTTTAGCAAGGTGAATTTGTAAGTATGGAAAATTTGAAAATAGGCTATGTGTATGCGCAGAAAGTAGCAATACTAGTTTTTTCACAAAATTTACTAACAAAATCACCCATCAGATGAAGGTGACTTTACTTTTTATTTTGAAGAGCTTTTTTGTACTGTTGCAGTTGTAATCTGGAGGGTCAAAAATAGCATTTATTAGCTATTATCTAGCGATACGTTTTAAGGCTTCAGCTTTTGAGAATTAATACCTTGGGGAACCGCCTAAAAATTTGCGTGAGATTATAAATGAGATTACGAGTTTTTTCTTATACACTCGGGACCCCTGTAACCCGGGGATCATGTATCATTGCTACGGCTGATACGGCGGCTCTTACGCCTCTGTTCTCGGTACAGCGCTAAATTGTCGGGCTTGTCCCATAACACCTTAAAAATACAGAGCTGTCCCATTATTTTTGTTATAACCGGTATGACATGAAATCAATATCACGTAAAAAATCATGCCCCGCCACAAATAACTGTCCGACTGGTTGCCGAGATCTTCACGGGATCCAGGCATCACAGTATAGGCTTTATCAGAAGTGCCGCGGTCAAAGCTTAACAGTGGAAAGCACCAAACACGAAAATTCAAAACTAAATTTGTATGTTGCCGAGATCTTATATAATTTGCGACTTTAGGAGTTATGTATACGTATGATATGTAATTTTCAATACTGAAGCTAAATTGTTCTACTTCATTCGTATACGTATACGATTTTCATCTACTAGAAATGCGAAATATTTGGAACCCATTCTGAAAAATTGACTGTCAATTCATTCCTTCACCACCCACACTTTACTATCACTACTCCATTTTCCCCACTTTTTTCCTTGTCCATCATGAGAGTTTTCTAGCGTCATAGTTTTCCAACAGCCACTTCTGTCTGTCATTGTTTCTGTCGCAGTACTCCATTACGAGCTTGGAGTGCTGCTGGTTGACAGCGAGACACTTCTCGCCGCTCATGTGTTTCAGCAGTTTGCTGTTTGGGTCGTACTGCCAGTATTGATTACCCTTACCGCCATGGCAAGGGTACAGGATCACATCTTGGCCGCTGTAATCAAGACAGGCTTCATCGCGACGAATCTCGCCGTTCTTGCTGAACATCCAGTACTAGAAGAAAGAAAAAACATTTTTTCAGAACTCTATTCGAAAACTATTCTATTCATTCAGATAAACCAGATAAGGACATTTTTAACTGTTAGTATTAGTGTTTTAAGAACATAGTTGCTAAGATGCGGAGTTACGTAATTAATAAAATTCCTGATAACTTTATTAATTCACGCATTTTAACGGTTTAGAACATCACACATTGGGATATAACTCACTCGTCCTTTTGGCCTACGTGAGTTTTGATTTTGTGCGATTCCGAGATCATGCGTATTGTGTCGAAAAGTACGATGAAGAAATTAAATTGGCATTAGTGGTCTCAGTCGTTTAAAAGTATCGTGTGCCCTTTCGTCAACGTGCGAGACGTGCGGTTAGCCATCTCCGGATAGAAGCCTTGCAGAACATGTATTTGGCGTAAAAGCGAAATGACAGTGAGATATCCAGCTTGATGTTTGACATGAGCATTGAGCAGGGTGTTATATGAGTAGTCTAATCATATTAGCCAATTTCTCCGAAATAATTGTAAAGTCTGGTTTTATTGGTGCAAGTTGTTCAAGGGGGTATTTAAAACATGGACGCATAAAATGGGTACACCAATTTTTGTGGGAAAACTTTTTCTTTGACAACAAAGAATGAGAAAAAGTGTTTTTTCGGATTCAATCAAGTGTTGACAGAAACGAAAATACTTTTCATATAAAATTTTTAGGTATTTATGACACTTACAGAACGAGACGACACGTGAAAAGATCCGACTAGTAGCGAAAATGCAGCTTTTGGCACTTGTTGGTAATGCGACGACAGTTTCACGCAACTACTTGAAATTCTTCAAATCCATAGGATTCGTACTTCTAAATAACAACAACAAAATTGGAGTATATTGGTCAAGTAGTTTTTTGAGAATTTTTAATTGTTTCTCCCAAAACACCTGCTTTCCGGCAATCACTATTAGTTTATTGAACAATAATACAGGGTTCGCTTAAAGAGCATTTGATAGCAAAATACACATGTGTACCTTGCCAATATGAATCACAAACCATTCCGAAAGGTTAATGTTATTTTTATGCGAAAAACAAAGGTTACGTTTTTTTGTTCTAAACATATTCAAACATTTCGTATTTGTGAGTAATTGAACAACTGCGTTAGAATATTCGAAAAACATACGTTACTGTACACATTTTAAAACGAAGCGGATGTGTCTATCATCTATTGTTGCGAATTACTCACAAAGACGAAATGTTTAAATTTGTTTAGAAGGAAAAACGTAACCCATCCGGAATGGTTTGCGATTCATATCGCAAGGTAAACTAGTGTGTTTTGCTATAAAATGCCCTTTGAACTAACACTGTATATTGCTCAATAAACTAGTAGTGGTGATAGGAAAACAGTTGCTTTGGGATAAACAATTAGCAATTCTTAAAAACTACTTGACCAATCTACTCCAATTTAGTTGTGCTTATTAACAAGTCCGAATTTGAAAAATTTCAAATATCTGCGAGAAACCGTCGTCGCAAAACCTGCAGTTTGTCTCGGTTTTCGGCCATAACGTTTTTGCTATTGATCGTATCTTTTTACACGAGGTCTCATTTTGTAGGTCTCTTAAATACCTAAAAATCTCATAAGAAGAGTTTTTTCGTTTCTGCCAACACTTTCCATTGAATCCCAAAAAAACACGTTTTCTCATTCTTTGTTGTCGAATAAAAAGTTTTCCCACAAAAATTGGTATACCCATTTTATGCGTCCAGGTTTTGAATATCCCCTCGAGCAACTTGCACCAATAAAACCAGACTTTACAATTATTTCACAAACGAGGGGTGTTTTCGTCTAATATGATTAGACTAGAGTGAGTTTATGGAATGATAATTGTGACTGGATAAAGATAAAGAGGAGTTGGGACACTGACAAGGTTGATATAGAGAGATGCGGCAAAGAACTATATGATCATAGAGCGAGGCTTATGAGGAAGGACACTGGTAAGACTGATGTGCAGCCAGGTAATAGTGAAAAACGGCAGGTTCTGCTAAAAACTTAAATCGTTGAGACCTGTATGCAGCTTATAAGTAAAAAAAAATAAATGGGGCCAACCTCTGGCATGAGATTTGCACCTAGCGGGATTTCAAATCAGAGGTAAGGGTTGCGTCACGTGGCAGGAATGCAGACCAAAATCAGTAGTGTAAGGTGTGGGGCAGTGAGGCAGTAAGTCCCTGAAAGGTGTGCACTTCTGCGGGCGGAAAGTTGGCGCGGATCTATAGGTTTGTTCTATAGGGGTGCCCTGATAATGAGCTCAAATTGAGTATTAAGTTGGTCAACTAAATTTGATCGTTGGATATCGTTTGTACATTGCCAGGTCATGCCTATTTGCACGTGGTAGTAGTGCAGGCAGAATCAGGTACACGCTGGAATGATACTGCGGGTGGTCCTTGGGATAGCAGTATGATTCTGAGACCTGCATTCTGCGGGCGGGTATTTGGCATATGGCCAGTTCCACAGGTAAGCGGCTAGTGGCATGTGATTTACAACTACTACTGGCCCATAAATTTATATGGGTTTAAGTATTATATTTCAATTGGCATTCGATGATCATTGAAGCTATGCGTTTTTATTTTCTTATTTCATGTCCATCTATATTACTTTTACAAATTTTATTCATATGTATTCTTTAGGATTAAAAAAGCAGAATGGTCCCATTCATGACGCGGAATTTCCAGTGGAGCGGGTGGAACGCTTTTCATAATCTGATCAACTGTTATGGAGCCCTTCAACATTGACAATGTATTTATGATTATTGGTTTCAAGTGTTTACATCTGGTATGTGTTTTGTTTATTCTCGAGGGAAAACCAAGTAAAAAAATGTCGGGATCCTTTCGGAGCGTCGACGGCGCGACGACACCGATCAGATACTCGGCGTCGAGCGAAAAGGCGGTATGGTTCGACCCGTCGCACAGTGTGGCATAATACCTCAAAAGTTGGTATTAATTCAAAAAATCAAGTGCTGTAATCACGTTCGCTCTGTTGACAGTTATATTACCGACATTCCAGCGCTTACTGCAACGAAAGTATCTTCTCTGATAAGGTGCCCTTACTATCTCAGCACACTCTTGAAAAAGGCATCTTCCATAGTGCACGCGTACTATTCGTTAAGTCGTTAGTTTCTGTCTATATTAAAAAATTATTGTGGATGTGGTAAATCATTTTCAGATTTTAAATGTTTCAGATGGAGATGTCAGCTGTAGGTGTGTCGTGTATTTTCATAATCATCACTCGTTTAAATTGAGTATTCACAATGAATTATAACGCTTAGAAGTCATCATTGTAATATTTCAGAAGAATATTGCTTTTCTCAGAAACATGCAGTGGTTTACTTGTGTATCGAGACATAACGAGTACTTTTGTTTGCATGACTAAATAGTTCTGTTATTGGGCAATTACAGGACGTTAAAATCATCTGCTATTTTTTTGCGATTTCGGACTGAAATAGGATTATTGATACTGACCTAATAACGTTTACTTTACTTTTATTAACTTTAGTAACTTTGATTTCTCTTGGTTCTGGGACCTAGTCGTACCAAATACTTAAAAACATCCCAAAGGAGGCTTTGGAACTCTTAGAGGTTTCGATTGTTGCTGAGTACCAAAGAAAAGAATAACGCGATGATGACGACGAAAACGAAGAATCATTAATGTCATTTTCTGTTAATGATTTATGCTGATATGTATTGATCCACAAAGAAATTATTATTAAACTTCTTATGATTATACCGTGATCTAAAATGAAAAGCAATGTTCGGTTTGCTTATATATATATATATATATATATATATATATATATATATATGCAGGGTGACTTCGAAGTTGAGTCATTTATTTTAACAGTGAGTAGATCTGATCAAAAGAAATGTTTTTTTCCTTTAACATTTTTCTAGTAAAATTAAAGTAACAAAGTTATAGCCCTTTAGAAGTTTGAGTACCGCCCTGTCTCAATAATAATATTATGTGCTCGTGTTTGGCAACAACGGATATAATCCGCCTTATCGGTTCATCGCATCGGAAACAAAAAAGCGAAAGAATTTGAAACGCTTATCGCGATGTTTTTACTAAAAGTTTATTCAGTTGTATTCAGACAATGTGTCAGTCGGTAACGCGTGAGTGAATAGTGGTGTTTGTTGCGTGGCTCAAACGAAATAAAGAATTGCACATGTTTACGAAAATGCTGAACTTGTGGACATGATTCTTATTTACAAAAACATTTTTTTTTTAATTTTTATTTTATTTTTACACACATATTTTGGTTTATCTTTCCTCTACAATCATTATCTGAAAATTATTGACTCAACTTCAAAGTCACCCTGTATATATAAAAAGAAAATGATCATGCGGAGAAAGGTATGTAACAAAAAATAGGAAAATAATGGGCAAAATCCGCAAAAGAAGGAAAGTGGATTCGAGCAGAAAATAGGATAGATAACCCGAGCGATACGTATTTCTGCTGGTTGGTTTCTTCAGGCCCGAAATGAATGCACATATATGCAACTACAAAGGTAGATACACATGCTCATACATCCAGATACGGGTGTAACCTGAGGAAACAAAGATGGAGAGGGAAAAAAATCACACACGAAGTCCACAACAAGAGCCAACCAACACATTGTAGTATAAAATGGCTAGAAAACCTCGAATTTTCAAGGCGACATCTAACCACAACCATGCGAAAATGATCATTTTCTTTTTGTAGATCCTTTGGGCTTGAAGTACCACAGCAAGTGGCTATAACCGGCCGGCGAGGTCTGCGTGAGCTCTCATTTCCTTTAAAAGGTTACTATAACACTTTTAGTATACGTTTCATGACTATTGGGAATTAATACCAAGTTTTAAGGTATGCTGCCCCACTGTGCGTCGGAGCTTTGTAATTAATAAAATTCCCGATAATTTAATAAATTCACTCATTTTAACGGTTTATGAAACATACTATAACGTTTTGATGATTAGTTGTTGAGCTAGAAGCGATT